ATTAAGAAAGTCATCAGCAAGAATTTCTTGAACTTGCTGTGCAGTCAACGCCATTGATCCCTCTTTTTCACCAAATCCTTTTTCTTGCAAATCTTTCATTTTGCCATGTAAAACAGTAAATAAATCTGAAAACTCATATTTATCATGTAAATTAATTCCGCGTATTGGAGAAACTTTTACCAAATGACGATTAATAGCATCAACAGCTTGTTTTACTGAATTTGCTTTATATTCACCAGATGTTTTTTTAGTCATTTGTGCAATATATTCGCAAACTTGTTGTTTAATTAATTTGGAATCTGTAATCTCCTCAAATGATGTAGTATAATTGCAATTTTTGCGAAATTCTTCAAATTTAGCAATCCAATTTTGAGTTGATCTTTCAGTATTAGGTACCATAGCTTTTTTAACAATAAAAATTAAGCTTTTCTTGAATTTCAGATATTTGTGAAGAGGAAGAAGGATTCAAAGTATCTTAAATAGAAGTTGTAATCTCTGGTATCTTTTGAGAATGATAGAAAGTACTTGCATTAGTAAAGATAGGGTTAAAAGATTTGTGAAGTCTCTGTTCTTTATTGACACATTTTTAAAGCATTTTAATTTTTTATTTTCAAAAGAGAAGTAAAAAAAGAGAGAAAGAAAATATGGGAATTTTATAGCAAAATAAATGTTTTATAATGAAATAAACTTTTCATAGCTAAATAAAATAAACTATTAATAAACTAAAATTTTTCATCACAGGCGTTAGTTTCCAGAAGATAAAAAAGTTATTCTATAGTGATCACATGAATATCATTGATATTTTCACAGCTGCACCGTGAAAATTAATGATATTTATTGATCCCTGTGAAATAACTAATACATATTTTATAAGATCTTATTGCTAAAGTAAATAATCAAAATATAATAGTGATTGTACTTAAAGATTTCAATGCTGATTATAAAGAGATTAAGATAAAACAAATTATTTATTATATAATTTAACTTAACAACTATTATAACAACTATAAATCACATTTTTATTTCTTTTAATATTATATATAAAAGTTTTAATTATGTAATTTAAGTTACTAAATCATGATATATTAACTATTAGTAAATCAAAATATATTATTTTATTATTAATAATATTATCACTATAAATAAAAACTTCTTTTTTATATGTAAACTTATAAAGGTTCTTCTTTAAAATTACATATTAAAGAATTTAATCAGATCAATTATACTCTTAATTATTATTATAATTTATTTCAAAAAATATAATAAGCAAATATTCTAATAAATTCTTAACACAATATTAAAAAGTATTCTGATTACTAAACCGATTATTAAAATAATTTATAAATGAATTAAAATAATTTAATAAGTTAAAAACTATATATATTTAAATAATTTAAATACTATTAAACTTTATATTTTATAAAAATTTAGAAATTCTTATTAAAATATGATTTTATTCTAATTATAAATAATATTTCTATAATTATATAATTAAATTTTTTTATCAATAATTCAGTGATAAAATAAAAATTAAAAAATAAATAAAATCTGCTTTTTCTTCAGTTTTAGATTGTTAGTTTTGGTCAACCAAATGCTTTTTAGTTTGGATTAGTTAGTTAATAGTTTTTTCTAAGTTTTCTTTCATATTTTTGAAGACTTCTTGTTAAGAAAGATTGTTTTTAATTTCTCATTTTAAATAGTTTTGACAAGTAATTAGTAAAGAAGAATAGTCTTGTTATGTTAATACTATTATAATTTTAATTAATACCTTATAATATTTGATTTATCTTAAAAAATAATAGTCAATTATTATTAATTAAATTATTATTTGAATAATTTAAACTTTAATAAATCTTTTTATTAATATAAATATAGAAAAAAAAATATCAACATTTTTAAAAATTATAAATTTTTAATATAATAATTTAAATTTATAATTATCATAAATACTATTTTATAACTAATTTATGAAATCTTACTAGAACTTCAAATAAGTCAAATTAGCTTAAATCAATTCTTAAAGATCAGGTTAAATCAAATAAATATCTGATTTAACTTAATTTCTATTTAAATAATTTAACCTGACTTAATCTGACTGAATCATTTAATTAAATGATATAAAAAAAAAATAATTTATTATCATTATAGTAAAATTATATATTATTATTCAATAAGAATAATTTATTATAATTCAAAAAGAATAATTTAATATTGTTCAATTATAATAATATATATCATTTAAGAAATTGATCTAAATTTTATTAAATCAGATAATAAGTTAATCTAATATAACCTAAATCTAAAAATTACTAACTTGATTTGAAATTTAACAATAATAAAAATTAATTAACTAATATACTAGTATTTTATTTAGCTGTTATTAAATCACATTTTTTTTAATACTTATTTATAATACCTAGTAGATTTTTAAATAAAGCATTGCTTGCAATATTCCAAATACTTAAATTAATCTTATGATTTCATCATGCTTTTTAGATTTAGGTATTTTTTTTTTTTTAAAAAAAAATCAAACTTGATTTGGTTAGAAATTAATTGCACAAAGTATTTTGCATTTCCGTTCCTTTTACTTTATCTAGGCGGTGTATCATGTTAAAATGGCTAATATCCATTGATCTGAAAAATCCTCACATAATTTCGGAAGTTAATATTATTAGAGCTTTCAGTATTATAAATTAAACATATACTACGCTAGTTCAGAAAAAATGCGTTAATTTATTTCCTTTATAAATTTTACTCACGTGTGGTAAAACGTGAATATTCTTTGTGAAAAAAATTTTTTTTTCCTTTATGTTATTTACAGTATGTTAAGTCAGCATGCATATAATATAATTATTTGTTATAACTTGCTTACAATAACCAAATTCAATTGATCTTCACGTGGTCTTATATTATTTTGGAAATGTATGGAATTTCAGGAATATAAAAACACGTTCTCTTGTCAGAATCACTGAAAATAAAAAAACTTGAAAAAATTTTTTATTTGGTCCCTTTTCCCATCACTTACCCAAGAAGCTCGAAGAAATAATAGTTACTATTTTGGAAAGTTTGAATGTTGAGACAGGGTGAGTATTTCACTTGTCGAAAAAAATTGTATATCCGAAGTTACATTACTACTAGGTTTAAAATGATGGGAAATGAAAGCTTTTTGTGGCCATAGAAAAAAAATGATGTGAACGTTCTTCTTTGATTTTTGATGATAATGACGCAAATTTCTCATTTTTTTTTATTTTTATAATTTCATAGAGGACGTGGTGACAGGAAAGATATACGCTCGCGTATTTATAATATCCCATTCGTTATTCATGCAAGAACTTGAGAAGTAAAAAAAAAAACAGGTATGTTTTAATGAATTTTATTCTATTTAATGAATATCATTAATAAATTTCTAAAAATCACAGGTCCTTCTATCGTCCGAAAGTTGGATGAGATGCTCTCCTGATAAACGGGCAGGACAATTGATATAATAGTGGCCTCTTTGAAGGATAATTTTCTCGTAGAGGCCAAAGGTTCTAGATTTAGACACGTGGTAGATTAAAATGACTGGAATGTTCTTGTTAATTTTTGATGATAATGACGCAAGTATTCATTTTTTTATTTATATTTTTCACAGAGCTGAGGTGATAAAGAGGTGGATATACGCGGGCGTATAAAATGACGAAAAATACGTAGCCCAGTGCAAAGCGTGAAAGGTAAAAAAATAGGTATTTAATGAAAATTTATTACATCTAAATGAATATCACTTAATAAATATTTTAATTTCTCAAGGCCTGCTGTCATTCGGGAAATGGATAGGGTGCTATCAAAAGAGTTATAACCGACAATCGATGTCGTGGTGGGTTTGTTTATCAAAGGAATCTATAATGCTTATGCAGTCGGGGAAACTGTAGAATGGAGTCGTAATTCATTAACGCCTATACGAAATAAAGTGGCAGAACATATGTTTAAAAAGCTTAATATCGAATGTCGGATAGTTGAACCTTCTGGAATCATTTACCGGTGGCGCGGTAATAGCGGCCAAAGAATCATATATAATCCTAACCGATAATGATTATCTATATGATGACCTATCAGAAGTCGCTGGTCGACTTAAAAGAAAAAGATATATCGTTTATCTTAATTTTATTATATATGGGATTGAAATCGAGTTACGAACATAGTAAATCTTATGATCCGTAACGTGATTTAATCCCATATGCTTTCCAAATATTTTATTCCTCGATCTTATTTTAATGAAAATCTGATCTTTCGTAAAATTCTTTATGATTGATGTCTTTGCTTTGTTTTTATCAGATTGAATATCCTTCTTTTAGAAGTTTATTAATACAGGATCGTTTTTCAATAAATATTTGGGGTATTAGAATAAAAAGTAATAGTAATAAATAAATTTTGCAATTTAATATATTTTAATAACTGTCTTTTAAATAAGCTTTTTATTGCAATATTTATTTAATATCTAAAAAAATTTTGTCAGTGGTTTCTTTTGTGAGTCCGGATTACTAAGATTAAAATTTTATATTTTATTAAGACATTAATACTTTTTTTTAAGTTTGCAGGCAACGTGCCTGCAAGATAGATAGATAATCTAAGAGATAAGGTAATTATACATTTAAGATGACGAGGGAAATTCCTAAAATTTAAATGACGTTTCTGTACTTCTGAAGAACGTGAAGGTGGACTATGTTTTTATGATATCGGACCTTTGCTCAGAAGTTGATTATCAAAAATTTCTACTGAACACAAATCAACTTTTCATTTTAACCTGATCTTTTAGCAAAAACATAATGTTTTCAGATAAAATTCTCACTAGTGAAATACTTCCAGATCAATTTCTAGTTGTTGGTCATCCTCGACATACTACCATAGATATCTATTCGCTTTTTCAATTTTTGAGCTATAATGTTATTTGGGTACACATTCATGAAAGACTGCACCTATGCTCCATGTGTTAACACGGGAACGTCACCCACTCAGAGCGCCTATCACTCTTTCTTTATAGAACACCTGCCCTTTTCAATTATTTTTTCATCTACCACCATCTTTTGTACGACAGCCAGAAATCCTTTCCAAACAGCATTTTGAATCATACATGATTTATTGCGCTTCGTCATTGGATAAAACTCGTTGTAAGACCATTTTTTTGGACGCGTCCCTTTGAGAAAAGTCTTTATAAGTCGTGTTAGTCTAAGACAATAAAAATAGGATAATTCACTCATAGACATGCTATACTTGCTTCGGCTTGAAAAAACGCTCTTGATCATATGCAAAATGACAATTCCGTTACATTCCAATAATATTTCGATATCAATTGTTTTTTATTTTGATTATTTAGTGTATATGACGTAAATTCTAACAATTGCATATCTTGCAATAGCTTCTATATCTTATATCTTTTCCCAAAGAAGGATGTATATTGTATTATGTACAAATGAAACTATGTATAATCCTTGACCAAAGAAAACTATACAAAAAAAATGTAAATTACGAAAAAAAAAATTCTGAATAATTTCTGATTTATTAAAAAACCATTTTGAAATGGAGGAAAAAAAAAAAAAAAAAAGTTGGGGATGAAAACACAATGAAGAAATCAGATTATTTAATAAGGCTTAATTTTGTTCTACAAGTTTAAATTACATATAAAATTATAATTATATAAAAAGGTCGCAAAATAATTAATAATTATTATAATTATGACGTTGCAAAGTTTAAAAAAAGTAATAAAAAAAAAATTGAAATGTTTGATTTATAGTAAACCAACTTCGCGTAAATTATTTTGAATAATGATGTCATTAACAGCAGCCATGACAAATCTAATTTGGTGTGTATCAGTAGCACATGTAAAATGTGTATAAATTTGTTTAACATCTGATTGATTTAATGATACGAAACGATTAAGTATATAATCACAAGCAGCATCATAATTCTCTCCACCATCATAATCCGGGAAGTAATTACACATTGGTGAGATCGGTAACTTTTCTTTAAACCTATCAATTTTGTTTAAAAACAAAATAATTGACGTTCTAACGAACCACCTTGAATTGCAAATCGAATCAAATAATGTCAAAGCTTCTTGCATACGATTCTAAAGAAAGCACGAAACAAAAAAAAAAAAATCAATCAATTAAATGCTTTAAATTTATAAATAAAAAAAATTTATCGGTAAGATTGAACACGTACCACTGTCTCATCTTCCAATAGCAACTGATCATATTCAGAAATAGCTACTAAGAATACGATGGCTGTGACATTTTCAAAACAATGAATCCATTTCTTACGTTCAGAACGTTGTCCACCAACATCAAACATACGGTAAGTGAGATCCCCAATCAAGAATGTGGTTTCTGTAATACCAGTTGTCTTTACACGGGATCTCAATACATCTTGATCGGATGGAAGGTAATCCAGTTTAGCAATACTATCAATTGTATCGAAATAGCTAAAAGGGAAACAAGATTTTTTTTTTTTTAATCAAAATTTTTTATTATTTAAATAAAAAAAAAATAAAAAGAAATCTCAACTTACTATTGTGCAGAATCATTCAATTGGTATTCTCGCGAACGGCTAAAGGCTTCTTGAATACCCTGATCAGCCCATAAAGATTTAATAGCTATAGCTATCTCTTGAGGCAAATGATCTCCCTCAATTTGATCTGGTAAACTCGAGATGGTAGTAGCATATTTTTGATTCATTTCAACTTTATAATGTATTCCCATAGTATCCATTGCTTTCACAATAACTTTCATGGATTGTACTGTATTGGAAAAGATAATTTCTTTAAAAGATTCCTTTTCTTCCGGAGAATATCCTCCGTCATGAATAAGTTTCATTTGTTTAAGAATTGTCGATTTTCCGGATTCACCAGCGCCTAATAAAAGAGAAATATTTATCTTTAATTAGTTAATGAAATGATTAAAACATTTTCTATATTGACCTTCACGTGTATCATATTCTGCGCCATCAACCATCCCCACCAAAGTACTGCGCCGCATGCGAAACTATTTTCCATCGCATTTATTCAAAAAAGATTTCCTTACCAAGTAAGAGCATTTTAATTTCATTACGCAACCTAAGTTTGTCTTTTTTAATTTGATTTTCAATTTCTTCATTTTTTCTTTTTCCTTCTTGGTCTTCTTGACTCATGCAACAACCCATATTGTATATTTATGTTCTAGGTTCGTTTATTTGGAAAAAAGTGTTGACCTTGAATTGTTATTTTAATAGTTGAATTATGTTAATTGCTTTGTTTTGGTTTTTTTTTTTTTTTTTTTTTTTAAAAAAAAAAAAGCAAGCAAATGTGTACTAGTTTATGTTTTTTTTAAAGTATAGTTTAATCGATAAAAAAAATTATCCACAATTAATAAATTTATTTATTTCATTCGTTTTGTTCGTTTATTGTTTTTTGAAAAAAAAAAAAACAACTTTTTCTTTTTGCAGTAAACCCTTTTTTTTTTTTTTTTAAAAAAAAAAAAAAAAACCGAAAAATTTTTTTAATTTATAAAAAGCTTTTCGGAGAAATTGTTATTTAAAAAAAATGAATGAGTTTATTTTTTCAAAGTTTCTTAACAACGTAAGTTAAATGAAGAATTAAACTAAAGAATTCGAGATTAGAAGAGAAACCGTTAAATAAAGTTATTAAGTTTTAAACGGATCATTAATGGAATGACTGTACCTAAGGTTTATAATGATTGCACAAATAATAATGTTTCACCTAATATTATTTTTCATTTGTGCATTTTTTTTACGGTGAACGGAAATGGGTTACCAATTTGGTTCAGCTTTAATTGGATGCAACCTTTTTACTCATTAATAACCTAGACCAATTAAAAATATTGTTGTATTTTTGGTTTCGTATGACCAATTTGCAAGTCACGGTTAAATTGAAGCCACCACGTTCTAAAAGGTGTTTTTGTTTCAAGCATGTGATAACATTGTTAGCGGATTGCATTGTTAGTGGTTGTGTATTCCCGAAAGAAGTGAACATGCGATTACGTTTTCGCGATAATTTTGGCCTTATTCTTTTGCCGCGTACGTGATAATAATAAAATTTTCGAATTGTAAGTTATTTGTTTTCATTCTGTGGAAAATCTCAATATTGTTTCACAATTTAATTTCTTAAATGAACGACTTTAATAAAAAAAAAAAAAAAAAAAGATTATTGAATTTAGTACCCGTTATTTGGCATCTGATTATAAGATATAATAATTGGTGAGTTTCTTTAAGTTTGTAATACCGTACGCTTTGTACCTTTTTTGAAGATTTAATAATCGAACCAATCGGTATATTATTATTATTAATTTTTTTTTTTTTTTTTTGTGAAGGTTATGAAATTTGTAGTTGAATAAAAAGGACAAAAAAAAAAAAAAAACTTTTTATTCAAATCCTTGTTCATAACAATGAAATGACAAACAATAAAACTGTAATAAGAAAATAAAGTTTTTTTTATTCTTTTGGCCCAATCAAATTATTTTTATTTTATTTTTTTTTATTGGGGGGTGGAATAAAGATTTTTCAATAAGAATTTGAAAGGAACGCATGTATAATGACTTGCATACCGGTTTGTGTTTTTTATTTTTGCACAAGGTTTTTTTTTTTGTTCTATTTGATGAATGAAACGGTTATATCAAGTGTTAGCCTAATTTGGAAATTTTAGCAAGTTTTAAATTTTTTCATTCTGTAATTCTAATTTTATATGATTTTTCTTTTTTTCCTTTTTTTCTTTCTTTACGTTTGATGTTTTAGATCATCATTTCGGATTTATTTTTAGCAAAAAAAAAAAATGTTGTAATATTAATTAATTCCCATATTCATTCCAAATTCGTCATCACAATAAAAATTCCTTTTTGTAATCGTTTTGATAAGATGAAAACACGTTTAATTATGGGCGTATAAACAATGCGGTTTCCTTGGAAAATTTATGCATTAGGCTCAATCTTTTAGACCTTTATTTTCTTAACACCTAAAAGGAATTTGATCATCATTTCCATCTAGTTTATGGATTTTTTTCTTTCCTTCCCCGTACACGCCCGCATTTTTGCGCTCATTTTGATAACAAATCTGATGAATTGTTTGTTCATTGTTTTGAAACAAAAAAAAGGGGGGGGGGATACTCAAAAAGAATCGTTCTATGTTAATTTTTTCTTATTGGAGAACTATAATGCTTACAAAAATAAAAAGAAAATCAGATTGTTTATTGTCACGTGATTACCATTCCCAACCCGAAATTAAAATCAGACTAAACTTCTATGAAATCAATAATACATTTTATTTTTTTTTATTATAAGAATGTAAATAATGTACAATAAAATGATAATGGTTGAACAAGAACTCTATTTTTATACTATTTACAAAAGAAAAAAAAAGGAAATATAATATAAACTAACTGCTTAAAATATTTATATTTATATTTCATTCATGGTGAAACGAGCCAAAGGTGACTGGTCTGACTTTAATATTGACATCATCATCTGATGCTGCACTCGTATAATATTTTGAATGAGTTTTACTACGACGATGATGTTTTTTTCTAGAGGTAACGATATGCGAAAGACGGTTATGACCGTGATTATTATTGATACTTCCGTTTTGCCAATAAAAATTGTCTCCGATAGTCGTTGAATATAAATCTTTTTCCAGAATTTCATTATAACAATCTAACCTGCTTAATTCTAAAGATGTTGCTCTTATTCTTTTTCCCAATTCCGTTGCCACCTGAATCATCCTATCCCTCGTTATTGCTTTATATGGAATCATTATTATCAAATTATTTCTAAATCGAATATCAGTTTCAAATTGTGACCTCAACATTTTGATTTTTCCTTCAAGTTCTTCAATCTTTGCCTAGGAATACAAAAATAAACAAAATTAATTTTGTTTTTAATAAAAAAAAAGGAGAGAATGAGCCTAACAATGTGATATATATTTGTACATACTTTCAAAACTTCGGCCCTGCTGTGAGCATCATTAATTTTATTATCATCATTACAACTTTGTTGATAATTAAAAAATGATTGTAAGAACGTATGCCTTTTTGGTGTTCCACTCTCAGTGCTTAAACTTTTATTATGATTTAAACTGCTACTCCTTGTATGTCTCATTTTCAATCCCACAGTTTTAAAGGTGGCCGCGTAATTTATCTTTGTAATCCAATCATTCATTTCGACTTCGTTTTCAGCTTGGAAAAGATACTGATTGCCTTTTGGACATACTAGACGGAATACATGTTTATATTTTGTATAGCTTTTATCATGTAAAGCAACCGAATCTGAAGTCATCAGGATCATATCCGGTTTTAATGTAGGTAATATTGTTGACTTCTTTAAAAAGAACGTTAAATATAGTATTAGCATTATATTTTTTTTTTTTTAAAAAAAAAAGAAAAAGTTAAAAATATATCTTCTCAATACCGATGGATCTTTCAAATCGGAAATTTTAGAATTGAACCAATCATCATCCTTAAACATCATTATCTGACTTCCACTTAAAATCATACCATATTGACTCCAACTTCTTATAACTCCAGATTTTTTTCCTTCTGATAAATCAACTTTACGACTTAATTTTCCAGCTTTGGTAATTTTAAGAAGAAATGACCCTTCATCATCACCCAAAGGGTGTATTGAAGACGATATTTGATTGAATGTTTCACTATTCCGTTGGGTCCTCACTCCCGTGATCCGAATAGTATGAGCCGTTGTAAATGCGCGATGAATACCAACTGTGTCAAATTCAGGAAGTGTTCCTTTATATGAAAAAGGATTTTCCGACGGAACAATATGTTCAATCGATGGGGTGTAGTCGGTTCGAATTTTCTAAATTAAAAAAGTTTTTTTTTTTTTTGAGTTCCCGGACGAAAAACATGAAAAATATTAATAATAATAAAAGAATTTTTACATGTTTGATGACAAAGTAAGGATCATTCTTGAAGCACGAAGAACGATCCAGTAATCCAAATATTATTGAATGACGGGATTTATGAGAGGAAGAAAGCATGGTCTGTCCATTAACATCTACGTCGTCATCAGCATAAATAAATCGCGTGAACGTGATATTATCATAAAGGATCTAAAATTCAATTTCTTCCGTGAGTTCTTTAGGATTTAATTAAAAATCAAGGGAATAATAATAAATGTATCCTTTACCTCCAATATCTCTGGAGGAATTCCATCGATCTTTGTATTCTTTACAAATTCTTCCTTTGTCATCTTTCGCTTTACGCTCTTGTTAAATGCATCAGTATGAAGCATTAACATTGAGAACGCAAGAACATATGCGGTATCTAAAATAATAATAAATTTTTTTTTTTGGTTAAATAATAGTGATAATAATAGTAATGATCATAATTGAGTATTTATCTTTTAATACATACCCGAAGAGGGAAATAAATCTGGATTACATTCATGATATCGCTTTGCAAAAGCTTCCATTACGCGATCAATTTGCTGTGTTTCTTTCGGCAGGTGACAATCCATAAGGAATTTCCTATTAAAATTAAATTAAAGAAAACAAGAAAATTAACTTTGGTTAAAATAATAAAATACGAAAGGAGAAATCAATAACGAAAAATTAACCTTAAAGCGATATCAACCGGATCTCTGGTGAAATCAAAAGTTTCCATGTAAGTTCGTAACACAGTTTCATGAAATACATCTTTACTTTTAGTGAGCAACGTTGCCAATTCTGATTTAGATAGAGTATCACGTAATTTATCAAGGTATTGTTGTGGCGTTTCTTTATAAGAATTATTTAGGAAAACGGTGTCTCTTCTGGAATCAGGCAAATGAACCATTGAGCTTGCAGAAGGTATCGTGTTTTTTTTATATTTCAGATCATCAGTTTGCTCTTTAAATAAAAGAGTGTGAACATTTGGGGCAGAACCAGAACGTATATGACGCCTTTGTGATTTAACATCGTCGTTTAAATACACGGGATTCGAATTTTCGGATGAAATTTCATTATCGGGAGGAATAGAAATTGAGGGAGTTATTATTTCTGTTTCATCTTTACTCGTATCACATGAGGATTCATAAGAAACTATTGTAATACTTGGAATCTCTGAATCATTGCTATCATTGTTTGAAGGATTCATATCTGGAAGGTTTTGTTGCTTTGATGTGGATTCACCAGAGTTTAATATTGTGGTAGTCGTAACAGTTGTTACGGTCGTCGTGGTCGTTGTAGTCGTTATCGTTGTGGAATTTGGGTCATCAATGAGAGAATCTGAATATGGAGGAGGAGGCGGTAATTCTTTATCAAGATATGAATGTACCCCTAGTATAGTATCATTACTTGAATTACGACGTATCAAGCTATTGTTTGATCCCTTTTTTGTAGGAGGATTGGTAGACTTTGAACGAGATAACTGTTTAACATTCTTTTTAATATCAAGATAGAAGACTTCCTGCGGCTGACTGTTCAAAATGTTCATTTTACTAATAAATCGGTAAAAAAAAAAAAATTCCCACCACAAGAAGAATTTTTACAATATATCACTTTTTTTAAATGAAAATTTATTGAATGAACACAAAAATTTTTTCTGACAATAAAGACAAAATATTTATATATAGGCAAGGGGGAAAGGAAAAAAAAATTTTCAGGAGAATTCGAGGTGCCTCTTAATGGAAACTATTTTTATCATGATACATACAACATGCCTATATATATATTTTTTTCATCAGGTTATGCTGTATTGGCGTTTTTATACTGATAACGATCCGAATAACAAGCAACACTAGATTTTAAAGGGTTTTGTTTATTTTTTTTTTTTCTTTTTTTTTTTTTTTTTGAATGCAAAGCTAAAATGGAAAACGTTAAGGTAAAAGAATTACTAATATTGGTATGTCGTTTTGCTTCCGTAATTTTCAGTTAAAATCCATCGAATATGGTAATGATTATGCATTGTAACCAACTTGTCTGTGCATACCAAATACAACAAAGAAACAAATAAGTAACAAATTATGCAAAATCACTTCGTCATTAGTATCGATAAATTTAGATAGATGATCTTTGCTCATTATAAATGCCCTTTTTGAATTCTTTTCCGATTTTTTCGTGACACGCTTCGCACCTTCCGTTGTCACATATATCATAAGATACACGTCACATTCATCATGTGAAACATCATCATGTTATGCAATAAATTAAGTTTAATAACTATAATCTTTAGCCGAAAAATTTATTAAATTGCGATATCATAAATACTACGTCAAAGGCCTTCGCAATTTCTTATTTTAACAAAAAGTTGGGAATATTACGTAAAGTTCTTGAATGATCGACAAATCATGTATTTTTCCGCAGAAATACTAAAATAAATAAAAACCATTTTTATAGTGTCAATTCTATAATTTTATCAAATTTAGTCTAGATATTAATAGGGTGATTAGAAAATGATTTGTAAATTCGTCGCGATTAAATTTAACTTGGGAATTTTTTTTTATACGAAATGTAGATTTGTAAATACACGCTATTTTTTTTTAATTTTGAGATTTATAATCAAATAATCTTAATAAATTCCTTTCCAACATTGCAATGGTAACCTTACCAATAGCGGGAACGTAAATGCTAGCTTTTTCTCTAACGTTATCTTCGAAATTTTTAAATGCGGAAAAATTTATAACTATAACCCCTTCACGCAATAAAGTCGTGGGAAGTTTATAAGAAGGCGTTGGGACACCAGTTATTACCACATCTGAAATTGGTACAATTTCTTCGAGTTTTACATTTGTATCTCGAACCTAATAATAATAATAATAATAAAACCAGTTAGAATCAAAAAAATTATGAATAATTTCCTTTTTAGATGATACCTCATGTTTCTTTAGTTTCAAACCGGTTCCACGATGAAATTCTTGAATGTTATTGATATCTACGGAAAATACTTTTCCTCCATCATTTGCTAATAAAGCTGCAAGAGGACGTCCAACAATTTCACTACGATTAATTATAGTGATTACACGTCCATGTAATCGATTTCCATATGGAAGAACTGGATTATAAACTCCAATGAATTCTAACACCTGAAAAAAAAACAAAAAATACAATAAGATATCATTGTCATGTGTTTTTTAACATAGTTAATCATTGTGATATCTCACCTTAACTATGGCTAATGGTGTACAAGGGATGATACATTTCTTCGTTTCTTCCTTGTCAAGAAACCGGACATTATGATACATATTATATATGTATTTATGACATAATCCTTCCACATCTTTTGAAGCACTGACAACATTTTGAAGATATTGATCCTAAAAAAAGTAAAGAATAAATAAATAGTTTTCATATGTTAAATTTTAAATCTTTAAAGTTCTTACCTGACGATCTCCAAATACAGGATAATAGACCATTATACCATGTATATTATCATCTTCATTAGCTTCAACGATTTGATCTTCTAATTCTTCTCTGTTGCATTTTCTTAATTCAAATACTACACCAGTTTCTTCACAAGTTTTCGATGTAGATTCAGCATACTTTACAGCAGATGGATCCTGATTGGCAAGAAATCCAACAAGCTTGGGTTTAATCCCACGAGTTTTAATTGTGGCTTTTAATTCCTCTCTAAAAGGTTTTAACACCAAACATTGTAGTGAACTTGTATTGTAATTTGTACAACGATAATTTGAGAAGAGGTGATGGTATCGTCGAGTTTTGATTATCCACCTAATTATTTTACGTTTTTATAACTAAATGCTATTATAACTATTAATGTTTCTATTGTTTCTTTCCCCTTTTTTTTAAAGAATTTTTTGTTTAAAGGATATTACAAACAGGAATGCAAAAATAATGTTTTATTTTAATTTATTTATTCCTTTTTTGAAACAGGTTTAAAAAGTTACCTAAAGCTTGCAGAAATTTCTTTTGCTAAGACGATTTTACACGACATCTAAGAGATAAAAAAATCAAAAATGATCGAAAAAAAAACTCGAGTTATTTTTATCTTAATCAATTTATTTTCCTTTTTAGTATATAAATCTGTATATCATTGTAAAAAATCTAAAAAAATAAACCAGAGATATATCTATCCTCTCAATCAGTTTTTTAAAAAGATGAAAAATCTAAATTTACTTTCGCAAAAAGTGCTTTCAATTTCCTCTCCTTCTAGAATCGGAAAATCTTTTTTAATAAATCATGAAGAAGAAGTTATGTATTTTTTAAGATTCTCTGAATCTTTAACTCATATTGAGCTCGTTAAATATAATGATTTAGAGGTAATGCGTATAACTCTTTGAAAACCTTTCTTGTTTGAATTTTACTTTTCTTAATCGTTCAATTTTTTTTGTGAAATGAATAGGTGATAGCAATGTGGTCTAATGATGAAGGGAGTACAGATTTGGACTCATTAATTTGCGGAATGTATTTCTCGGCGTATGATCAAGTCATTTGTATAGCATTTCATAATGGTGATATTGTCATCGTTAATTCATCACAGCAGGTAAATATTTTTTTTTTTAAAAAAAAAATACAATATCATACTTCTTTTCTTTAAATAAATAAATATTTGTTAGGCAGAACTTGTCGGATCGATCGAATCAAAGATTCAAAGCATGGAATGGAGTCCGGATGAAGAATTAGTAATCTTTGTTACAGGTTAGCGATAATAACCTTCTTTGAAATTTTAACATAAAACCTAAAAATTAACATGAGTTACGTAGGAAATGATACAATATTGGTGATGACGAAAGATTTTGATGTGATAACGGAATTCCCGATTAATGTGGATGAGGCTGGAGAAGGTAAGTGATGATTGAGAAGTTTTAAATCTTATCAAAGTCATAATTATTAACACGGCCACTTTACTTTTAATAAGCTGTTAGCATAAATGTTGGATGGGGAAAAAAGGAAACACAATTTCATGGATCAGTAGGAAAGTCTGCCGCGCAAAATAAGGTTGAGGTTTCCAGTTTTACTCTATCTCCAGATGATGATTCAAAACCGCGTATATCGTGGATTGGAGATGGCAGCATGTTTTGCTGTTCAATAATTGATCCTAATAAAGGTGGATAATTTATATAATTTGGAGGAAAAATTTTAGACTATCAATTTGATATTTAATATTTGGTGTTATAATTCAGGACTTCGAGTCATTCGAGTTTATAACCGGGAAGGTATATTACAATATACTAGTGAACCTGTTGATAAACTTGAACACGTATTATCATGGAGGTATGATTTATTCATTCAAAAGAACTCAAAAATTTACAGTAATTTGTAAAAGTTAATTTTTTATTTATCATTACGCAAATTTTCTTTAAGGCCATCAGGAAATTTGATCGCTTCAAGTCAGAAGTTAGCAAATAAACATGAAATTATTTTCTTTGAAAAAAATGGTCTAAGGCATGGAGAATTTACATTGCGTGAAACATATGCTCATAAAGTAATTATAAATAGATTTTTCAAATTTAAAAAAGAATATATTTTTTCCAAATTATTTATATAAAGTGTAATATTTTAGATTATCGAAATCATGTGGAATTGTGATTCTACAGTTTTAGCTATATGGATGGAAAGAAATATATCAAATGATGAACATTCAACGTGTGGTAATTATGATTGAATTTTAGAATTCGGAAAAACTTTCAATTACTTAATAATTTTCCTCGCCAATAATTTAGTTCAGTTGTGGAATATGAATAATTATCATTGGTATTTGAAACAGGAAATTCAAAGTCAATCTGATGTTAGAATAACTAGTGTTTCTTGGGATCCCGAAAAAGCGCTCAGACTACATTATACCACAACAAGTAAGGTTAAAGGCCTCAATAAAAGATTCTTATAGAGGATAGTTGGGATGAGCAATAGCTCTTCTTTGAATTGATTCGTTAAGAATTATTTAAAAAAAAAAATTTCTCTTTATCATAGATGAATATCATTGTCTAGATTTTTGTTGGGATGTTTTCGGTGCAAATACGATATCTGACAAAAACGCTGCTTCTGTTGCAGTTATCGATGGAAGTATCCTTTATTGGTTCATGTTTATAATTTTGTTAACCGTTAAATTATTGAGATGGATTCAGAAAGTTGAAATTATATAATTGTTGAATATCAAACTGAGTAATTATATTTTTAACCGTGATTTAAGTTTTGAATTACAGTATATAATATACATAATAGCTTTATTAGTGGACCAATTATTTGGAACTTGGCAATTTCCAAAATTCCTTGACGCATCAAAATCGCGTGTTCTATTTAATTCATTACATCTGACAATATACAAACTATTATATTAATTCCCTAACATCACTACATACTAATAGCCTCTGTGAACCTGACACCATTCAGAGTGATGAACGTGCCACCACCAATGTTTGCATTCTCTGTACAACTTTCAAATCCTGCATCTTGTGTGACATTTTCATCAAATAATGGAGGCAATGATTTTGCTGTTCTAGAATCTAATCAACAGATTACATTATTTGAGTGGAGTGGAGCACTAGAGAGACCCATTAAAGCCCCAACAAGTATAGGTTCTATTCAGTATGTATAAATTATGTATTTAACCATTTATGATTAACAATTTTAATTATAATTTGCTTTAAATTTTAAGAATTGAAGATCCAAAAAATGATCGAGGAATAATGAGACAAATCATATGGTTTAATCGATCGGTTATATTTTTTTTACATTCTTCCAAGGAGCTCAATCATTATGATAACTTGGTTGCGATTTATTTGACTTATGACGAGAATGGAAAAGCAAAATGTGTATCGTATGAAAATTTTAATCTTAAACAAAACGTTCTAAGATTATACTTTAATCCAAATAACAAAGAATTGTGGTTTGAAAGTATTCATGGAAAAATTTTAATAGGTATTTTATATTAAGTTTTGCTTGTTTTCATCATGTAATTCCAATTAATTATTTGCTATAAATAACGTAGCTGAAATATATATGGATCGAATCGATAAGTTTATCGAAAACATTAATTATAATAAAGAAGAAAAGATCAAAGTACAAAATGATATTTTTATTCAATTTCCTGAAGTATGTCATTGGATTTCTTCAACTCGGATTGGAAGAGAGGAAAGGGCCGAGGTAAATATATATTACATTTTCTTTAAAGAAAATCAGTTAACATAGAAACTTTAATTGATAGGATGTGATAATTGGATTAAGTGAAAATAACAAGTTATATGGAAATCATATGCTTATATCAGCAGAATGCACATCATTTTTCGTACATAATACTTTACTTTTATTCACTACCTTAAGTAATGTGATCGAATTTTTACCACTGCAAGCTAATCTATCAGGTAAGAACATACATAATCTTATAAAATAAAATGTTAATTTGAAACTAATAAATATATATATATTATAGATTGGGAAGTCGCTAATAATCTATACAATGAAGCCGATAGGAAGGTGGAAAGAGGATCGAAGATAATATGTGCTGTCTATTTTGATAACTTTCTTATATTGCAGGTAATTATTTAAGCAAATAAATATTTTTTTGTTTAGGTCTTATTAATTTTTAAGTCTTTATCTCTTTAAATATTAGATGCCCAGAGGAAATTTGGAAACTGTTCATCCACGAGTTTTAGTCTTGGCTTCAGTACGCGAATCACTGAATCGGTAAGTTTAAGCTGCTACTCATAACCTTTGTTATATGAGCTGTCTTTGATTAATATAGATATATATATATATATTTTTTTTAAAAAAAAAAATCACTTTAGATTTGATTATAACTCAGCTTATATGACTTGCAGAAAGCATAGAATTGATTTAAATATTTTATATGATCATGACCCTAAATCATTCTTGAATAATGTTGAATCATTTGTTAATCAAGTCGAAAAGGTTGAATATTTAAATTTATTTTTATCAAGTTTAAGGTAAGCTAATTATTTTCTAGTATGAATTCGAATCATTTGTTTAAAATTTATTTATTCCTTTTAATTATAGAAATGAGGACGTGGTTATAACTATGTACCCTAAAGTTATTTTAGGTCCAAAATATGGGTCATCTGATGATAATACGGGGTAAATTTTTTTTTTATGCAAGACAATTTATTTTTAGCATGCACGAGATCTTGAATTTATGTTTTTATTATTTAACTAGAATGCAAGATGTGTCAACAAAAGTTAATACTGTATGTGATGCAGTTCGTGGAATTTTAGAATCCAAGAACTCTACAAAATATCTTCAATCAATAATAACAACTTTTGTCAAAAAATCTCCACCAGAATTAGAAGCTGCATTAAATTTCTTGGCCAAATTAAAAGGTAATAATGAGATTGTGTAACTCTTTACAGATAATTTATTAAAAATCTAATATATATTATATATATTTTTTATGTATGATAAAGATATAAATATTGCAGAAGATGCTGTAAAATACGCAATATTTTTAGTAGATGCAGATAAACTATTTGATATTGCATTGGGAATGTACGACTTTAGTTTGGTACTTCTAGTTGCTCAACAATCCCAAAAAGTAAATTATTTCACCAAATATTTATTATTTCAAAGCTGTTTCACCCATTAATACAAATATGATTTTTTATTCATACAGGATCCAAGAGAATATTTATCATTTTTGGCCGAACTTGAAAGTTATCCAAAATATTATCAAAGATTTAAGATTGATGATCATCTTAATAGATATGAAAAGGCTTTAAATAATTTAAGTTTAGCAGGTGAAGTTAAAATTCAAATTTTATTTACACGTATAAATAATTTTTTTTTTTTAAAAAAAAATTATATTGATTTGTATATTATTTAGGCGATGAATATTTTGATCAATGTTTGAAATATCTTCAAGAGTATCAACTTTATAAACCAGCCATTGCTCTCTTTGCTAATAATGATGAAAAATACAAAGTAAGAATTATATATTTTTTCTTTACGTATCATTTTTGAGAAATTTGTCTGTAAAAATATTTAATAATATATTAATATACATATATATTATAGAAAGTTATGATCATTTATGGAGACTATCTGATTTCAGAGTCTAATTTCAAAGAAGCTGGATTAGGTATGAGAGTAGAGCTTTTTAAGTGACCTGACATATATTACCTAATATCATTTTAATATAAAGACTACCCTCCCCTAGATAATATCATTTATGCTGAAACCACCAAAATGTTACCGAATATATTATTATAATTTCTAATAATAATATATTTATTTTAGCATACGTTATGGCTGGAAATAAACCGAAAGCGCTTGAACCTTATAAAGAATCGGGAATGTGGCGTGAGGCATTTGCTATCGCTCAAGAATTAAAGTATTCATCAGATGATTTGTTCTTATTGGCCAAAGAACTTTCCGGTATTTATTATAAAAATCATATTGGATATTCCGTTTGGAAGAACATATATGTAATTGATTATTTATTTTTAGAAACTTTGTCTGATAAAAGACAGTATCAAGAAGCTGCTCAAATATTATTGGATTACACAAGGGTTAGTAGTAATTTCTATAACATGTCTGTTTTTAAATCATGGAATTTTATTAAACTTTTAATATCTTAATTTCTTAATAGCAACCTGAAGAGGCTGTCGTATTACTTAACAAGGGTCATCATTGGAGTGAAGCCATACGAATTGTAAGTAATTAGTTTAAACAAGAACGATCAACATGAGGTTACTAATTAAGGATTTACAATTTTGTAGTCTTACATGTACGGCAGATCAGATCTTATTGAAACGAACGTTAAACCAAGCGTTCTTGAAGGTATAAATATGATCATTAAATCATATTGCATTATTATTGATTATTGATTATATTATAAATATTTGTTATAGGACATGGTAATATACTTCAGGATATTAATTCTATGTTTGACCAGTTAAATCAGCAAACTGCACGATTACAAGAGATCCGTCTTAGTAAAGCCAAGAAATCCGGTAAGTAAATGTTAAAAATTTACTTGTAAGAAAAAGTGGTTATTAAAGATTGGCTTATCCTTTCTTTAAAGATTTAGGCCCATTTGATGACGAAACAATAGAGAATGTTGATGTATTTTCCGATACAAGTTCTATGGCAAGTGGATTCACTCGGTATACTCAATCTAATACTCAACTGAGTATCCAATCTACCAAGAGCGGGTTAGTAAAATTATAATATACATAATACGATTTGATTGTGAGGCAATATAAATTTATTAAATCATTTTTATTATATAGAAAAACCGCCAAAAGTCGCAGACGAGCCGAAAGAAAGAAAGCTCGTGGAAAGAAAGGAAGTATATATGAAGAAGAATATTTGTACGATTCGTTAAAAAGATTAATTGAAAGGTTTGATAATTTCAAAGGTAAATATAGCCATTTACATTTAGCTGTTAATTTTATATTTACTAATCATAAAATACTTTATGAAATGATCCTAGTTGAAATTGCAAATTTATTGAGTTGTTTAGTTACATTGGGATATTTGAAAAATGCTCAGCAGATTCAAAAGATATTTGGAGATTTGGAAGAAAAGATCATAAAGAATCTTGATGAAATATTTATTATACCTCCTATTAATAATTCGGAGATTTTGGTTAATCAGCAGGAAAATGTAGTAAATTCAGTTAAATACGAAAGGCCAAAACTTAATCAAGTTGATTGGAAGTTACAAATTATATAATTATATATTGTTTAAATTGTTTATAAAAAATAAATTTAACCTGGTCAACTTTTTCGCGATTTACACGTGACTATATTTATATTGTTACCAAAAAAAAAATAATAGCTGCGCGACTTTTCGTGTTCTATCTAAAACAAGTTATCAAGAAATAGTATTGCAACTTCTTTAAAATCCATGAAATTTTATTTTTATTAATTCAACTCATTACGTGGAATTTCTGTTGGAATAATGAATATTTCTCAATTGCAAATGAAATTCGTGTCAATTTTAACGCTAATTCACTTTTAATGGCTGGTATATTAGTAGATACTCTTCTTTGTGATAGGGTTACGATTATAATGAGAATTCTTGCTACGACTACTTAGATTGGGAATCAAAATATTCCCAGAGAAAAGTGCTAAAAAGATTTTAGCATCTAAAAATTGTGATCATGATATTAAAGCCGTGGTAAAATCACGTAATTAATCGAACGTCGGAGGTTCGAATCGTCGGATCAGTTTAAGTCACGTGATACAATAATAAAAAAATTTTGAATTTTATTATAGCATTCTAATATTAAGTATTATATTAAATAAATTTATATTAGATTATTTTTTATTAGCATATACTTAAAAAAATTATTACATTTGACTAATTAATAAAGGTTCTAAATTATCTTTTAATTCCTTAATAAACAACCAGTTTGTTTTATATTTCTTCTCTCTTCAACACACTAACATATATCACGAACCCTTTCTATTAACTCATTTATGACCAATTGTCAATTCTCCAATGCCTTTTCAGCTTTGGTCATACTAGGCATCTCCAATTCAACTACTTCACAATACATATATACATCAAACCTAATCTCATCAAACATTTGTTGAAATTTCTCCCATATATCAAATGTTAATAGCTTTGTAGTGACATATATATTTTCATGAAATATATGACAATAAGTAGCAAATACTAGTGAAAAAATAAGCAGTTACAATTTAAACATATAAGATCTAATGCTAGCTTGACTTTTACTATTCGTTTTTGAATAGCATAAATCTCAATGATAAGTATTTATTAAATGGAAAATGGGAATTTATTAATTTTACAAAGTATTTCATCATCAATACCAATAGCTGAAATCCTTTAACATAAAATTCATAAGTAATACAGTCTGAATCAGAACGTTATTTCATCAAGTTCAACAATCTTATAACAACACCTGATAAATAGAAAATTGATTAAAAAAGCTAGAATACAAAATCATATAATAAAAAAATTATAATAAAAAATTATAAATATTAATTAAACATGATATATGAAGAAAATTCTCTTTAATTCACTATGATATGATTTGTCAAAGTCACTTATAAAAGAAGAGGAGAATGCTGTCATACACAAAATGTATATTGATAAATATTTTTAATGTAATTCTTTAAAATATTGTTTAATAGTCAGAATTGAATATTCATTAATTACTTGTTAAATAAGATTCTCATATCTAATCCTACCTTTGTGCATAGCTTGGATCATTTTTTATTGTGTCTTTTTTGTTATAAATTTCTTTCATTCAAATTCTCATAATATGCATTATACAAAAGAATATTGCATTCTTATTTACCATTTTTAAGATCTAAAAAGTCATTTTAATGCTATTGGATTCTATAATACTTTGATCTAAAAGAAAATATTTTAAATTCTAATAACATGTAAATCATTTAATTATTTTTAAACCTTCTGTAAAAGTATAATTAACTTCATTGCTTACAAAGAAATGAACTCTAATTTTTTAATATTCATAATTATTATGAATATATAAAGTAAATAACTGATAATCATATTTATTAGTTTTATGTGTTAAATCTATAAGAATTAACCATCTATATCATTTAAGATTTTTGAGTTAATTTGTTATGCAAAAATAAAAGTATAGGTTAATAAATGAGAAATTTCATAATATTTAATTATATATTCATATTTTTTTAGAAAGGAAATAACCTTTATAAAGCTCTGCATAAGCTAGCTTAGCTTAGCTTACTACTGGCTCAAGCTGATCCACTTTTTTTTTAGCTCAGCTCAGCTCAGCTTGGAAGATCAATCAATAAGCCAAACCAAGCCAAGTCAGTTTACAAGCAGCTTGTTCAGAAACATTTCTGAAATAATTCCCTTCAAGAGAAATATTTTTAGAGCGATTTTCTTAAAGGAATTCATTTATAGAACATTTTTCTTAAAGGATTTTGTTTCTGAAATGTTTTTCTTGAAGGATTTCATTTTCAAAATGATATTCTTGAAGGATTTCGTTTTCAGAAAGATTTTCTTAAAGGATTTTATTTTTGAAATGATTTTCTAAAAGGATTTTATTTTCAGAATGATTTTCTTAAAGGATTTTATTTCTGAAATGTTTTCCTTAAAGGATTTTATTTTTAAAATAGTTTCCTTAAAGAATTTCATTTCTGAAACATTTTTCTTAAAAGATTTCGCTTCTAAAAGGATTTTCTTGAAAAGAATTATCTCTATGGCTTTTTCTTTGAAGAAATTGCATCCAAAATTGAAATCCTTTATAGAAATCACTCTAGAAGTGAATTCTTTAAAAAAATTTAATTCTGAGTGTATTTTTCTTTAAAAAAATACTATCAGATGCATTTTTTTAAAGAAAATATTACTGAATTCATTTTTTTTCAAAGTAAATATTATTAAGTTTATTTTTCTTTAAAGGAAACGTCACCAGAACTATTTTTCTTTAAGTAAACGCTATCAGAGCATCTTTTCTTCAAAAAAAAACTCCTTTAGATTTATTTACTTTAAAGAAGAAAATGCAAGCTAACGAGCTGAACTGTGACATAAGCTAAGTCACAATATAAGCTAGCTTATCTAGCTTGTAGCTCATTTTATAGTGGCCCTAGACGAGCTGGCTCTATAGATGCCTGCCAAAACCTCCTCAAAATAATTTTGTCATACCCTTTTTTATGTTTTTAATATAGTTTCAACAGTTTCAGCTTTCATCATATCGAATGGGTTTCATCGTATCTCTTATTATGATTTTAATATAGTTTTGTTTAAGTTTTGACTGTTATTAAGGGGTTTCATCCCTCATCTATAGCTGGCTCATTTGGCTTGCAAGCAGCTCAGCTTATTGCGAAACTCTAAATCTCTATATATCTAAATTTCACTTGAAATTATCAATAAGATATATATCTAAAGATTCATATATTATATTTTTAATCTCTTTTGATTTACATTTTTTCTTAAATTTAGCTCTTTCATTATATATTTTTTTACTACACCAGTGATTTTTTGTGACCAATAACTTTTTATGGCTTTTTATATAACTAAATTTTAAACAGCTTAAGAATGCTTAAGTTTTTAAATTTCTCTAAAAAGTGTAAATGATCAAGTAAGTCTTTAAATCTTTCAACTTATATTTTTTATTCAGATATATAATATTGAACTTTGATTTTTGCAAAAAATAAATTAGCTAATTGAATTTTTGTTATATAGCATTTTTTAAATAATATGTTTTCCTTTCAAATGCTTAATTTATTATATTTATTAAGGTAATAAATAAAAATCCTTCATTAGTCACTATTAACATTATTTCTAAAGCTAAATTCTGTTTATATATTAAATATAAGAGATTACTATTTCTTATCAAATTCTTTAATTGAAAGTTCAAACAGTTATTCAATATTAAAAAAATGGATTTGTCTATGATTAGAAGTTAATACTTTAGGGATAGGTATATTTATATTATTAAAAGTAAATAGGATGATCATTTGTTATATTTTAATAGTTATTAAAATTAATGTTAAAAAATTTTAAGAAAAAAAACCTTTAAAAAGTTTGATGTTAAAAGAATTAGATAAAAAAAACTTCTAAAAAGTTAAAATTGATATTAAAAGAATTTGAGAAAAGAAAGTTAAAAAATTGAAAAAAACCTTTTGAAAAATTTGATAGATGTGTTAAAAGAATTTGAAGAATAAATCCTTTAAGAAATTACTTTAAAAAAAAAAGTTTTTAAAAAAATAATCTTAAAGTATATTTTATAAAATTTAAGAAATATCAGAAATGTTTCAAAATTTTAGAAAAAAGAATAAAAGGAGAAAGTATATAAGAAGTAAAAAAATATCAAAAAAATAATAAAAAAAAAGTTAACATTTCATAAAATTAAAAATAACAAAAAAGAAATATAAAAATAAAAAACTTTCTCAAAATCTTTAAATCTTTAAAGGAAAAATTTTTTTTAAATTTAAAGAAAATAAAAGAAGAAATAAATATAAAAATTTCAAAAAATAGAACCTTTTTCTTATATTATATTTTATTAATAAATATTTTCTGACACAAAAATTTAGAGACTCATTATATAGAAGCCTTTTTTATTAATGTTAAAATATTATTATTATTGCTTAGAAAGTAAAGAATATACATGCGTGTTATCATTTATCTTTTATTATTATTAAAATCTTAATTTTTATTTACGCGTATATGTGATTTAAACTGATCTGAATTCAGATTACTGCTAATTTTCTAATATACTCTACTGATCAATTAATCATATAATTTTATACAATTTTAGTTACCCTTAAGTATAGTTATAAAAGCAGATATTAGAAATGTGTTCTTCTTATAATTTAAAATATATATTGAAGAAATATTATTTGCAAGCTAAACAGAAAATATTAAAAAGAATGCAATTTCTGAAAAATATACTGAAATATATATATCCATGTAGATATAAGTATAATAAAAAAAAAAAGGGTATTTATTATAATAGATATAAAAAAAATAGCTAAAAAGAATGTTTAGATACAAAATATTTATGAAGAAATTGAAGGGTAATATATTAGATGTTATATTAAAACCTAAACTCAATCTAAAAGAAAAAGAATTTATTCAAGTGATATATGATGAGTATTACTTTATATAAATAATAGATTAAAAAGAAAAAAAGTATTTTACGCTTAAAATATTTAGGATATTCTATAATAGTTTTCAATTTTCTTTATCTATATCATAGAAAATTTATATATTAAAGATAAAATTGCTTGTATTCTTTATTTTATATAATGAATAGATATTAGATCTTAAAATAGATAATAAAATATGTTTGATTAATTTTTTTTTATAATAAAGAAAAAAATTTTGAAATGTTAAATAACTTACCTTATTTTTATAATATAGATTATATAAAATATATTCTAATATTTAAGATATTATATCTTAAATATATTGGTATTTTTATTTTAATTAGTTAACTAATTATAATACAATAGAAGAAGATAGACTAATTGTAATAAAAATAAATTTAAGATCTAAAAAAAATAGTTTAAAATATATGATAGGTAGTAAGTATATTAATGAATATAAAGATAAATGTAAATAGTTTATAATATTTTTAAATGACCATCTAGTAGAGTGTCTAAGAGAGAAATTAAAGGAAATAAAAAGTTCGTAATTTTTAGCTTAATGAAAAAATTAATTTAATATATAAAAAATGTTTTAACAAAGATATTAAAGATGATATAATAAGACAAAATATTAATTATATTGTAATTATAATTATATTACTTTGTAATTGATATATATTTTTCTTATTAATAAAATAAATATATTATAATATATTACTTTTTAATATTTCTGTATTTATGAATTAACCTTTATTTTGAATTATTTTTTTTATTTTGTTATAATAAAGTCTATTATTATCAAATTTTATTTAAATTTTAATATAAAATTTAATTTGTATAAATTATCATTTTTTTAAAAAAATATTTTGCTTAATATTTATAATAAAAAATATTATTAAAAGTAATTAATTTAAAATAAATTATTTTATTATTTAAGCTTTAACATTCTTTTAAATATTTATTATTATATATTATAATTTATTAATATAATTTTTGTTTTTAATTTATTTATTTTTAAAATAAAATTATTTAATTTAAAAAATCTTACATTTATTAATAAAAATTTATTAATTCCTTTTAGTAAAGTTAAAATTATTATTTTACTATTATTAAAATATTCATATATACTATATCCTTCTGATTTTAAGCACCACTTTTTTGAGGGAAAACTTTCACTAAAGTTTGGGATGGTGCTTAAATTCGGAAGTTTTTTTTAATTTTTTTTTGTGCTTCGAAAAAATTTTGTATTACATAAATTTATATAAATTCAATTTTACCCCTATTTTACGTACATTTTTTTCACACGTAATGCCAAAAATTCAAAGGTCATCATATTCTGCTAGTGAAAAGCTTGAGATTTTGCAATATGCAAAAAATCATGATCAAAGAGCAGCTGCACGTCATTTTTCTATTAATCATTCAATGATTTCACGTTAGAAAAAACAGGGAGATAAACTCAAGTCAGCAAAAGGAAAAAATTGACGTATTTGCGCAAGAAAAAAAGCACAATATCCTGAAGCTGAAACTAGTTTAAAAACATGGCTTATAGAATTTTGAAAAGATGGTATTGTAGTGACTTCTAAAATGGTTAAAATTTATATGAAAGAAATTTTAATAAAAGAGTTTGCTCATGTTTATCCAAATAGTGAAAATTTTCTTGCTTCAGAATATTAGTTTTATGGTTTTCTTAAAAGAAATGGATTTTCTCTGCAACGTAAAACAAAAATTGACCAAAAACTTCCTGCTCACCTTAATGACAAACTTTTGGAGTTTCAGCGGTTTATTATTAAAAAACGAAAATAATTTAAATATGAACTTTGTGAAATTAGAAATATGGATGAAACTCCTGTTTATTTTGATATAGTTGGAAATTTAATTATAGAAAATTGTGGTGCTAAAACTGTGCAAATTCAAACAACTGGGAATGAAAAAAATTGGTTTACATATGTTCTTACGGTTTTGCAGATGGTACAAAATTACTACCAATTATCATTTTTAAAGGTAAGTAAATGCCAAAGAATTTACCTTCTGGAATTATTGTATTGATGTACCTAAAAGGATGGATGGATGAATCTGAAATGAAAACCTGGTTTAATAAGGTTTGGAGAAAAAGGCCGGGAGGAAATAGAATCAATAAACAAAGATCCCTTCTTGTTATGGATAGTTTTGAAGGTCATAAATAAGATGGATGCTATAAAAAAAATTGCATTCGATGAAAATACTGATTTGGCAATCATTCCTGGTGGTCTCACTTCTATTATTCAGCCACTTGATGTTTGTCTTAATAAGCTATTTAAAGATAGACTTTGTGAAAAGTGGAACATTTGGATGAGTTCAGGTCAATTTTCTTATACTAAAGGTGGGAATTTAAGAAAGCCTGAATATAATATTATTTACAAATGGATACTTGAGGCATGAGTGGAAATTCCAAAGGAAATGATTGTAAAGTCATTTAAAAAATGCGGTATTAGTAACGCAATGAATAGATCAGAAGACAATTTGTTTAGACAAGATAAAAAAGAGGAGGAAATTGATGAAAATGAAAGAGAAATTATAGATATAGATAGTTATTCGACTGATGAATTAGATGAATTAGAAGATGATGATGAATTGTAAAATAAAATTTTATTTTGAAATAAAATATGAAATAATAAAATTTTTTCAAATTTGGGTGGTGCTTATTTTTGTTTTTCAAGTTTTTATGCTGAAAGTTGAGATGATGCTTAAAATCAGGTGGTGCTTAAAATTGGAAGGATATGGTAATTAAAAATTATATTTAAAATAATTTAATCTATTATACATAAAATCTTTAGTTAAGAAATATTTATTATTACTTATCTTTTATTATTAAAATCAAATATTTATTATAATAAATACTTTATACTATTAATAGTTTTTATAAAAATACTAAATATTTATTAGTATTTTTTATTAAAAAGATTATTGATAATATCAAAATAAAATTTAGTAATATTTTATTACTTAATATAATCAAAACAAATTTTATTAAATATTAAAATGAGACTAGTTAAACTAAAATCTGGATAAACAAACTGATCCTATGCTTTAAATTTGCTAAACTAGTGCTATTTCAAAGATAATTACTACTTTAAACAAATTTAAACTAATTAATAATGACTTAAAACCTATTAATTAAAATTGAAAAAATTTAATAAATCAAAGCAAAATTATTATTGAGATTATTAATATTCAACAATTATCCTTAATAGATATTAAAAAACAATTTTATTACTAATAGACAAAAAAATATATCAAATTTATAATTAAATAATTGTTATTAAAATATAATAAAGTGGTATTAATAAAAATTTATCTTTAACTAGTTATTAATTTTTTTAAAAAATTAATAACATTTTAATTATTTATTCAATTTATTTAAACTATTTAAATATTAATTAATATATATAATATCTTTTAACTTTTATTATAAATTTGATTAGTATTTTTTTTTTATATTTTTTACAACAACCTTATAAGAAAATAAATTTTTTAATTTAGTTTAAAATTATTGAAAAGTTTTTAAAACTTTAAAGTTATATAATTCTTTTGGTATATTTATATTAGATTAATTTTTTTTTTTATTGTCAACACGTTTATTAATTTTTTCTTAGTAATATGTAAACGGATATTTAGATACTTAAATTGTTTACAAAAATATTTTGCAAATTCAAATAATACAATGTATTAATACTAAACTAATTAAGTATAATAAATAGTAAAGATCTCAAATGTTAATTTAATCTTTAAAAAAAATTTTTTTGTAGTTTTAAAACTATTTAAAAGAATTTTTATCCAACAAAAACTTCCTTTTATGGTATGTATTAGAATTCATAAAAAATAAACGATCAACTTAATTCATATAAACTTTTTCAAGAAATTATTAACCAATCAAGATGTCAATTTTATAATAATATTTCCAAGACAAACTAAACTGTCTCTCCCGTATAGCATTCATTAAACGAGACATTTTGAAGTGACCTTTATATCGAAAACATTATTATAGATATTGGTTTAAATGTATGCAAAAATCTAATCAACCAGTAACACTTTTTTTAAAACGATACAAATAAGATTCAAAGAAATTTTAATTGTTGAAAAGGTGTGATAATGCAATGTTTTCAAAAAGGGATAGATTTTCTAATTCGGACGTTTTTATTGCTATCATGAAAAATTCATTAGAGCCGAATTTACTAGAACTAATTAGGTTAATTACGTTAGATTTGCTTAATCATGTGTTCCAAATAAAAAGAGTTAATATCATATCCTAATTTGTGTCATATTAATAATTTTTTTACACTGAAATGGAAGTTCATTAATGGAGAACGTGAAAAAAAAAAAAAAAGAAGAAAAGAGAGAATTGTCTTTCTATAAAACTGCCGAACATTTTCAAAAAAAGGAAACCTGATCTGCATTTCTTCTCATGTGTTGCTGCTAGTAATTTACACAACATACGATTAAGGTTTATTTTTCAAAATCCCCGGTTTTATAAACATTGAAATTCCGAAAAAAAAAAAAAAAAAAAAATACTATACTATTATTGCTATTATTGATTCTGTCAATGTATTCATTCATGTGATAAAATCATGAGATTCATTTAACTGATCCATATGGTGAGATTACAGAGATCACAGAAAAGGATTTTTTTGAAGGAATAAAATGTTTTTAGTTTGTTTTTTTTTTTTTTTTAGAAATTAAAAAGATCCGTTTTAAATACATCCATACACGGAAAAAATTATTTTAAAATACAGTTTTACCTTGAATATCACATTTATTTGTAGCACGCTGATTATATATACAAAAGTAAAACTGTTTGTTTGAACTCCTGATTTTTTTTATTCTTATAATTTAATACAAAAAATACAAAAGAAATTCTCTCTTTTTTTTTTTTTTTTGTTCTCAATAGTTATTTTTTTTTCTTTTACTCGAGGAAAAAAAAAAAAAAAAAAAAAACTTGAGCTGGTCTTTTGGAAAGTTTTTTTTTTGTCATTTAATTCAACAAACTTTACAATAAACTTGATTTGATTTTTTGTTTATGATTTAAATCAAATTTTTTTTTCTTTTTTCCTTAATTTCTATTTTTTACATCATTATCACATTAATTAATTCATTATATTATTACACAATTTAATATTCTTTTTTTCTTTTGCTAAAAAAAAATCTCATCGAAATCTCTTAAAAATTCATCAATTGTAAATATACTTTCATCATAAAATACAGAATGTCATATATTGATTATCGTACTCATCCAAATAATAATTCTGGCCCCGAAAAATGGAATCAAGATGATGACTTCGATGTAGATTTAATAGAAGTGGAACCTTTTGATACGGAGAGTAACGGCGATGGTGGAATTGGATCAAGTAAGGGTATGGTTAGTTCAGAATACAGTTTTTTAGCAGGATTGTCTCCAACTGAACAAAAAAAATTCGAAAAGCAACAAATGAAGATTTTACAAAAATTACAACATAGAAATTTATCGGATGTATCGAAAAATGTTCAAGATTCAGTCAATTCAGGATCAATTCATTCTTCGCTTATTTCTTTAATATCGCGATATGCTGATGAATATGTTGATGAATATGTTGATGAATATTCCGATGATGATAATGAGTATTCAGATGAATATGTTGAAGAAAATGCTGATTTGAGCAATAAATCTAATCCTTCTCATAGACCTGCTTCCAAACATACCGTTTCATTTAGTAAATTAATGTCATTCGGTTCTATTAGAGGGAAATTGAATCGTCAACGTAGCGTACGACATATTCGCATGTTAAGTGAATTAAACATTCCTGTTCCTGATGCAAATGAACCAATTTTATTTGAATCTAGCGTGCAAAGATGGAATTCTTCTGTATTTAAAAAATCTTCAAATAATTACCTTGTCCTTACAAGTAATTGTCTTTGTAGCTTTAAAAATGTTGAGAAAGCTGCAAAAATATTTGCTGGTCTAACTCATAATCATAGCACTGACGACGATACTTCTTCAGATTCCAATTCTGAAAACGTAACTAAAGCTTTACCATCGGAAAATATCATTCTTTCATTACCCACAGTTTATGCCATATCCGAACAACTAACACCTGAACCTTATATTAGAATTGATTATATATCGGGTCCTAAAAAGCATGCTCAAGTTACAATCACACCCAAAGACCTCCAAAATCATAATCAATGGCTTTCAACGATAAGAGCCACAGTGCGTAACGCGAATGCCGTAGGTTCTTATTTAACGCTGAGTCAACGTAAATGGATCATGTCAAAATTAAAATTGTCACAAGATTTATCCGATGAGAACGAAGAGAATTTAGTTGCTTTTCGTGTTATATTAAAATCAATAATCGATGAAGGTTCTAGGAAAGAACACGATAAAGATCCAAAAGTTACAATCTTTCTCATTTTAGGGAAAAGCAATGTTTACTTCATTCCATGTAGTTTAGTTGGAAATGAGTTGTTAAGTGATGAAAATGGAATGAAATCAGATCGAAATATTGAAGATACCAAGTCAAAAGATGTCGAATTTCATAGATATAAATACCCCTTGTTATGTCTCACGGACATAGATTCAGATGGAAGAGATGATTCCTTTCAATTAACATTTAAAAATAATATGGGGTCCATGAAAAGAACTTTGTCACTTGGTTCTCTCTTGGTGGAAAATATTATAACTGAAATTCGCACAGCGATCGATTCTATTACATTTTGGTGGCCAAGCCCCGGTTATCAATTAAGGGCTCCGACAAATATGCAAGCAACGATTGTACCCCCTGAACCTGAGAGCGATAAAGCCTCACAGGTCTTGGGGCTTGAAAGAATGATTGAAGCTCAATGTCATGCCAATCTTGTCAATAAAACAAGGATTACTTTCAAAATTGAATATGTAGTTGGAGCCAAAAGTACCTTTATAGGATTAGGCATCGACCATTTACCCTTTAGATTTATCCTTCTCCCCCCCGCATCTCAATCACCTGACTCACATTTAGAGCAAGAAGCTACTTATTCAAATCAAGAGTTAATAGCGATTTTTAATTCTCTTAAATATCATCCACTTTTACATGAAGTAATTTTCCGTCATACAAACCTTTTTGAACTTCAAATTCAACAAGGACCTAAAGAGCATGAAGGAATGAATATGCTTGCCGCTGTATTATATGACCTTTTA